TATCTTAGAACAATGCTATATATCTAATATCTGTTTTAAAATCTAATATATATCCTAAGTCGCGCTATGAAGCCATGAAAAACGCAAGTTAAAATTCGTCAATCTCCGCAGTAGAACAGGAGAACCCCTCCCCCCCTTTTATTTGCAAGGTATACATATTTATAGCAAATTAAGCTCTAGAAGTCATATCATTGCAGGTAGATTATACAACAATGGTATATATAAAGTACTGTATACCTGACTGCCTGAATCATAGCAATGTTATTAATATTAACAAATAAGGGAACATGACACAATGACGAACGTAGTCATAAAAATGAATCATGGAAGTTATATAGAAAGAATGCATATTTTTTTAGAATTTATCAATATTTGCGTATTTATTAATTTTATTTCTTTGCTTTATAATGTATTTTCTCCCTCCTTTCTGCATGCCTTCGTGGTGTAGCGGTAACACGCTCGGCGCGTATTCGAGAAGTCCAGGTTCAAGTCCCGGCGAGAGTATTGCTCATTTTTCATGTCTTCTGCTAATGTCTCTACCTAATGTCTCTACAGCTAATGTCTCTGCCTAATGTCTCTACAGCTAATGTCTCTACCTAATGTCTCTACAGCTTAAAACAAGAATTTTTTTTATTAGAGGTAATTATTTAGTTTCATCCAGTGCTACCAAAATTTTTCAAATTTAAACCTTGTAAAGCTTTTAATGATTTAAAAAACAATTTTCAGTTATGGTAATCTACTGAGCTATCGGTTATTTATGGTTATTATTAACAACAAAATAGCAAAGGTTTTTTTATAACTGCTGATGGTTCGATTTGCAACTGGAACAAATTGATTGTATCATAGACTTTCTTAACATTTAAAATACAACCAAGAGCTGGAATTAGAAATTTCCTCATATAAATATTACTCTGGTTAGTTTATTACCGGTTATACCGTTTTTTATTTCTTTGCTTTATAAGGTATTTTCTCCCTCTTTTCTGCATGTCTTCGTGGTGTAACGGTAGCACACTCGGCGCGTATTCGAGAAGTCCAGGTTCAAGTCCCGGCGAGAGTATTGATCATTTTTCATGTCTTCCGCTAATGTCTCTACCTAATGTCTCTACAGCTAACGTCTCTACCTAATGTCTCTACAGCTTAAAACAAGAAAATTTTTTATTAGGGGTAATTATTCAGTTTCATCAAGTGCTCCAAAATTTTTCAAATTTAAACTTTGTAAAGCTTTTAATGATTTAAAAAACATTTTTCAGCTATGGTAATCTACTGATCTATCGGTTATTTATGGTTATTATTAGCAACAAATATCAAAGGCTTTTTTATAACTGCTGGTGGTTCTATTTCTAACTGGAACAAATTGATTGTGTCATAGGCTTTCTTAACATGCAAAATACAACCAAGGGCTGGAATTAGAAATTCCTTCCTTTAGATGATACTCTGGTTAGCTTATTTGAGAGTACAATTTATCAAATAATAACCAACCATTTGAAACTCCCTCGATCTAAAATTTAGCATCTTTAGAATAATTAATTAGTGAATGAATCTATCGTAGTATGTTTCATTCTGCGTATCTCATTTTTAGCGAAATTTTAACCGGAAAGAAAGGTGCATGTTATGATCCAAAAATACATTATGTATTCCTCATATATCGTAATTAAGCATTGCATTTCATAAATTTTAAATTTTACCAACATAGTTGGTATTTGGAGAAAATGAAATCTTGTCCTTTTCCATCGATCAATTCTATGTATGGGGCAATTTTTATCCTAAATTTTGAACAAAGCGGATGCGCACGATTATGAGATTGCATTCCCTTTCGTTATTGCTACAATTGAATACATGCATATAAAAGAATTCCGTCACAAATGTTAATTCGATGGAGATGATTTGGCAATTTGCTGGTGCACAGAGCGGCATCTAGTAAAAGCTAACTGTCCATTGTTAAACTGCGAAAAAAACCTCTTTATCTGCCCATGAAGTGTGTATAATTCATGTTTCATACGTGAGCAATTTTCGTCCACGCTGCACGTAACATGTGCGGTACCCGAAAATTGGTTACTACACTATTTCGCACCGAATGCAAATGCAGGTTTAATAGCCATGTAATTTGCGCTTTTCAACTTACAACGTAGGAGGTGGATTGAAAGAGGAAAAAATGAGGCAGAAAATCATCTAAGGAAGTACCAAAAATAATAATAAATGTTACTGCGGTCGTGTATACCTATGGAACAACAGAGTCACGCGAGCTCTGTTTAGCAGATATGAGCGCGAACATTTGAAGAGGGCGTCTACGAAGGTGGGGCTTACATTACGCAAGCCTGGGGCGACATTTCAGATTCCGAGGTCTCGTAGCATGTTCGAGGTCAATCGGCTCTCAGCGGAGGTTATAGCTCAAGGGGCTGTCGTTAGATTGAATTGGAAGTGTCCAGTTTTGTGTCATTGCGACGGCAGGAATTTGTATCTGTTTATTTTTTGAAGATATTCTGAATATGAGATGCAGCGATAGGAATTAGGTTTGACGTCTTTATCTGCTTTAAATGTTTCAGTTGCGATTCTCATGAATGAATATATTTTCTTTGCTAGAAATGGAATTCCTTTTAATAATTTTTCTTCCGAATTTCAAGTATATTTATCTATGCATACATTTACAAGGTTCGACGGAAAGATCTCCCGATTTAAACAGAAATGATAAAAATATATAAAATAAAGCATAAATTCTATTTCAAATTCTTTTTTAGTATCTTACAGAACAGTCTTTACATTTATTTATTATTTTCTTTTAAAGATAATATTGCGCAACTGGTTGCTCTCACTAGTTATGCATTCCTGATGTCTCATCCAAACGTTGCCTCCCATATTGCAGCGACGTCAGTATGGACAGCCTCATATAGTTTCTCGGACATCTGTGACCTGTGTTTAAAAAAAGGGCAAGTGAAGTTAACCTAAGAAAAATCAAGTGGAAGTAAGTACCAAAGCAATCGCCCTGACTGATATAGTGGATAGCACTGCTAGCTGCCATATTGTTGAGCCTGATTTTGAATCTCGAGGAAGTCTTGGAGCTTATAGTTATTATATATGGATATACAGTGTGTGGGCGGCATGGAGGCACTTAAAATACTGGTGAGTCGGAAGTCGTCTTGAGAGGTTATGGAGTAGGAGAGGAATGGTGGAACTAGTTTTATTATTACATGTTTCGCCTCGCCAGGTGCCGGCACTACAGGGCCAATGCACCCTTAGAACAGTTTCGGGGATTCAGCCCCCTTCCCCTCACTTTGGAGAACACTGGCACCAATCGTCATACGGCGACGCTGGTCGTCTAGATGCTACCTGCCAGTCGCTCGGGCTGCCTGTTGCATAGGGAGATTACCCAGCGTACCCGGGACGCTTCCTCGGGCTACTAGAGCCACTCTGCTCTAGGACTCGCCAGGCCCATGGCCAGCCAATAATTGATTTTTCCTGGGCCTCCAGAGCCACCAGGTTCATAAATTTTATACCCCCGTGGACAAGACTGCCTAGGTACAGATCCTAGCCAGTAGCTCCGTGGAATTCTCTACTCTACATCGACCCTCAGGGTGGGAAGAATGGTGGAAGATCCGCAGAGGCATCCTCAGGGGTGAAAATTGGAACCTTTTCTTTTAAAAGACCGATGCCTGTTGGCTATTCCCAACGAATGCATTAAGTTGTAATTTAACAAAACTACAATTTTGGCCTTTACTAAATTTGCCAGTTTGGCATCATCATTCTTACTTGAGTAAAAGACGAAACACCTTCGCATTTATTAATTATTGTTCATTAAACGTAGGTTTGTTTGTTCCCCTTGACAAGTTAACTAATTTCCAATCAAGGACGATAACTGCTTGGTTTATAAAATTTCTTTTCAAAGTTTGAATATTTTTTTCGTGATTTAAATTCAAGTACCTTTAAAAAATTTTTCGGAATTAAATTTTTTACTTCTGGGTTACTTCATTATATTAGGATATAATGTAATCAATATTTCTTTAGTAAGTAAATTATATATATATGTATATATATGCATGTTGATAAAGGTTAGGTTAGGTTAGGTTATTTAATTACGGCAAAGCCTCGAGGGCTATCTGCCTAAGGGAAGGGATGCCTTCGTGGAGGACTTTCTAAGGGAAACTGGCTCGTATACACACATGGGGAAAACCACGAAAACGTCCATGCAGCCAGTCCCTTCGCGGGTGTAGATAAAGGAGGGAAGAAAGATAAAATTATATATATATATATGCATGCAGATAAAGGAGGGAAAAAAGAAAACATTATATATATATATATATGTGATGTACCAGCTTTTGTCCAGAATAAAAGATTGGTGAAGAATCATAAATGTAGTCGTAACTTAAATTATCAGATGATAAGTTTAAAAAACAAGATCCATTAATTACTATTCAGGAGAAATAGCAGTTACAAAATCAGATATTCGGAGTAAATAAAAAGAATTACTAATAACTTTTTGTATGAAGTTTACTGCATCGTGACATTTAAGAAAAGCCCCCAATATTCTTTTGCGAGTCCTTTTATAGCCTCTGGAAAGGCGGAGCTTCAAAGAAATGACGTCAGCCAATCCAGTTCGTTTTAAATATTTAAAGAAGATTCTAAAACTGTACGTGTAGAAAAGGCGGGAAAAACAACTTGACTACGGGGCTGTGGATTTAATTCCACGTACTTTCAAATAAGAGAACGTCGCTATTAAAAATGCAAAGAACATACAGTTAGAATTTTAAGTGTATTCTTGACTATGGAATTTTATTATTACATATATATATATATTAAAGTAAATATAATAATATGTGTATAATGTATATATGCATATAGATAAAGGAGAGAAGAAAGATAAGATTATAACCTAAAAAAAAAAAAAATATTTAAAATTTCATTAGCGAAGGGCAAGTGAGGAAGTGAAACGGGAGTTCTTGTTTGAAGTTGTTCAGTCATCAATAATTTTTCAATAATGTAAGAACAATTACAAAAAGAAACGTAAATGAGTTCATAATTTTTTATTATTTTTCAATAATCATGTATAACAAAAAATATTTTATTTACAATAGAGTACATGGAAACACTGAGAGCAAAATTTTCGTGCATACATTTTTACATAAATTATACTAGGCCTATTTATGATGAAAAAGATTTCAAACCTCCTTTAATGTGACAGTTATCCTTTGAAAGGAAACACAATGATTTATGAGTTTTGAATCTGAGATAACTGTGCCCTATATTATACGCCCGAACGACGATTATAATAAATTACAATGAATTTTTTTGAACATATCTTTTCCTCAGTTTTGCAATAAACATTTGATATGAATGACAACGGTGCTCAAAGCTTTCAACGCGCTTCAGACGGGCATTTCTTTCGCTGTAGTAAGACACTTTCAAAGGAATGTAAAATCTCATTTTTATGTATTCATTTTGGAACTGTTCAAAATGAGAGAGGAGGCATTATATCAGTGTTCAGCTATTGCAGTCCGTTAACTGCTGCTTCTGCTTTGGCTACCTGTAAGACAATATTAAAAATTAGTATGGAGAAAAATATGTAAATATTCAACAATAAAGTAAGACGAAACAATCATCAATTAAAATAACACATTTTTGAAAATTCAGGTACACTGCACAAAAAAAGGAGGGCAGTTCTATTTTCCTTTCCTTTCTTTCATTGCCCACGAGCGAAAGTCGTCGCTCACACTTCAAATAACTTTTAAGTCCGTAAACCACATTTTCGTTATTATCGCTTATAATAAATACGCGAAATTTCAAAACTCGCAAAAATGTAAATTCACGTATATCGTAGGAAATTTTGAATAAAAACACAAATTTTCTGCAAGTATGCTTAAAAATACATCTATTTTAAGAAGATGGCAAAACTTGAGAAGATGGCAAAACTCTAATTTGCTGCTTGAAAACTAATCCGCATTATGTCATCGGCAATGCAGTAAGCTTTTGTCCACAATTTAAATAAAGAATTCAACTCTATAAATACCACAGCTGCTGAATACGCATGCGCTTTTGCTACTCCCCTGCTAGCACGTGTCTCCTTGTTTCGCTTTGTCATCTGTTGCCGCGAAATTTGACAAGTTGTGTAGAGAATTGTGATTTGCTTGCTGCACCCATAGTAATATGTAAAAAGAGTATATGTGTCCTAAAAATTATTCATCAAGAAATAAAATTATGTAGTGAGTCTACAATAACTTTTCATTTCCAAAGAAAAAATCATCTCCAAAGTATCCATCTTATCTTTTCATCTCCAAAGTTCGTAAAAGAAGATGGCAAAACTTTTATATGTTATAACTCAAATGTTTTTCGAAAATTTATAAAAATTATTTAAAAATACAATTTTTAAAATAAAATCATAAAAAGTGGGCGAATTTTTATTTTAATGAACCGTTCTGGAAGAAGGAATCAAGTAAGTTTAATAAAAAAAAAGAAATATTAATAAATATATATCAAATTCAATTAACATTGAGCAGCTAATGTTTTTAAAAACTACTCGTGCGAATTTTACAAAACTTGGCAGTTTGGCATAATTTGAGTCGCAGAATCAAAATAAACAAACAAAAAGAAGAAAAAAAAAAAAAAAAATCTGAAACTTTTCAGATTTTAAATTACGTCCAAAGGGGCGTTTTTTTAACGTTTTGAGTGTTACCTTTATTTATTAAATATCATGTTCTTTGCACTTACACCATAAAATTCAGTTCAAGAGCAATATCGCAAAATAATGTTAAATTAAGCATATCTTTTAGAATTTCCGATATACACAGTCTCGCGAGCTGGAGATAAAAGTATTTTTTTTCTATATAACGTTGCCATTTCTCGCTTTTAAAGCATTGAGTTTGTAAATCAAAAATTCGTTAAAGTTTTACAAAATATAAAATCTATAATAAAACAAATTCCAAATTTGGGATTTCAGATGCCCATATTCGCAGTAGGATTTCGTCATTCAAAATTCGATGGCTCTATGTACCATTGTTTTATCACAATGCGAGAAATAGACAATCATTTATGCAGATTTTTCATTATTTAATTTCTTCAAATATAATGCAGGACTCTAACATTTTGTGGCAACAGTTTGAAAAGTGAACCGACGTTTATGAGTCCGAAGCAAAATGCCAAAACGAAAGCAATAGTCCTTCGGGACTGAAATCCCTTTGGACTAAAAAAAAAAAAAAGATGCACGCCGTTTTAGAAAAAGACCGATTTTGTGTCAAAATACCTATATTAGAACAATACTATATGAAAATCTAATACATATCCTTAGTCGCTCTTTCGAGACATGAAAAATGCAATTTGAATATTGTCAATCGGCCTTGTAGAATGGGAGATATAGAACTGCCCCCCCTTTTTCCCCCGGTGTACATAAACACGCAGAGTTATCAAAGATAGAATAATCATGATTTATAACAAAGCTTATTAAAAACTAGACCATGCAAAAATATGTGGCTCGGATAAATTTTTGTATTGCAGAAATTGTATTCTATTATAAATTCTGTATTACAGAAAACAGAATGCAAATATATTTTAACCCCATATTAATATTTCATAAACTATTTATAAACATTTTTATTCGAGAACTAACTCAGGAATGCACATTTATTCGTCCTTAAAAAATTATCGAAGGTAAATACAGTTATTTTAAATCTTAAAAATCAATAGCTGATGCAATATAATAGAAAATTTACACAAGGCTTTATGAAGTTTATCCACTATTTGCAAAGTTACATAAGAGCTACATTTCTAATGAATTAATTACATAAGAGCTACATTTCTAATGAATTAATTTCGTAGTTTAATAAGCAAAATCATGATTATTAATTCATATATTCTGTTTCGGCGAAACGCGATATGGAGTTAGCTGGATTCGAAAATCATTAAAATTATTTCCCCTGAAGACCCTTAATGACATTCGGATTGGGCTAATCTACCATTTACCGCTTCTTTGTTTCTGTATTTTTGCTTTTGTCACTTTAATTCTAATGTTTAAAATATGCCTTACTTTGATCAGCATATTGCTTACAATTAGTATTGAATTTTATTTGTAAATATTCGAGTGTTTATATTGTTTATTTAATCTTTTTTTACACATTTCATTGCACTTTATTTTACTTATGTTAATCTTTTCACGGAACCACAGTATCTAAGCAACTTTTTAGCGTACGAACTAGGAATTTTCTTTTAACGTTTTTCTAAATTTTGCAGCTTAATGCGCAAAGTTTTGACCTCATAGGTCTCTTAAAGTTTGTTCTCTTTTCTTTAATTATATATATATATATATATATATATATATATATATATATGTATATGATATATTCATATATATTAGATGTAGATGCAGGGCTGGATTTAGGTATAAGCTACACAAGCTATAGCTTAGGGACCCACTTTCTTGGGGGCCCCCATAAGTTAAAATGTAGTATAACAGACTTATAAAAGGTCCCCATATTTCAAATAGCTTAGAACCATATAAAGTCTCTGGCTCTGAGTAGATGTACTGTACATGATGACTTGAGGATTTGAAGAGAGCAATATTTTAGGAAGTGTGGGAGAGAAGATACCAATTATATTTTAGTCATGACCGAGATGGTTCTAGATGCATACAGATACGATGTGTAATAGATGGATGGAATTTGGAGATGAAAAGTTATTGTAGACTCACCACATAATTTTATTTCTTGATGAATAATTTTTAGGACACATATATTCTTTTCACATATTACTATGGGTGCAACAAGCAAATCACAATTCTCTCTACAACTTGTCAAATTTCGAGGCAACAGATGACAAAGCGAAACAAGGAGACACGTGCTAGTAGGGGAGTAGCAAAAGCAAGTGCGTATTCAAGTGCGTATTCGTATTAATGATATATATATACGGTATTTATAGAGTTGAATTCTTTATTTAAATTGTGGACTGCGATTGGACAAAAGCTTACTGTATTGCCGATGACATAATTGTGGATGAGTTTTCAAGCAGCGCAGTTTAGATTCCAAGAAGTAGTCAAATTAAAATCAGGAGTTAAAAGGACTAATGCTAAAATAAAATTAGTAATTTTGAGTTACATGTTTTACATCTTGCATATATATATCATTTTTAATTGTAACTCTTTATTAATTTGTAACTTTATTCAGTAATTATTCAAAGGCAGATACTATGTAACAGAAGAAAGAGGTTATTAAAATCCTCAAAAGTTTAGAGAAAGTAAGGAAAATTAGAGATGAGAAGAATTTGAAAGATTTTTGTACCTTTTGAATCTTTCATATAACAACGATAACTATGAGCTAAAAAAATTGCTAAATTTGAAATCTGTGTGTAATAAAAAATTAATTTGATTAAATAATTTATAAAAATGCACTTGTACTTTATAAATACAATTAAAATTTAGTAAATGGATTAAGATTATTGAATTATGGCAAAGCACACGAAGGCTATCTGCCTAAAGGGAGGGAGGCCTTCGTGGAGGACTTTCTAAGGGAAACTGGCACGTATACACGTTACACATGGGGAAAACCACGAAAACGCCCATGCAGCCAGCCCGTTCGCGGGATTCGAACCTCGGACCGAACTACCAGTGTTCAGCGTCTTTACCGTTCGGCCGCTGGTTAGCCCTGTTTAGTAAATGAAGTGCATAATAGATAATCTTAAATCTAATGTTTGAAATTCTTATCATAATTTGATAAAAAGTGTGTTTAGGTAAAAATCCAGATCTTTAAATTTTTGTAAAATGTGTTTGAATTCAAAGCAAATATCGAAGGGAGAAGATTTTCAAGAGCTAAAAGGACAAGAATGTAGATTTTTTTTTAAAATTTTTAACGGATTTTTATATTAAAAAGATCCGAATGAGAAAAACCAGAAGATTTCTGGTTTTCGAATATTGAAGGATTCGAATGTCCCATCCCTGGGGGGGGGGATGTATAACTGAAAAAGAAAAATGCATTGAATTAAGGAAACTTGCTGGGCTTTCCCCAGACAACGTATAAAAAGCTCATTGAAAACAAGGTCAGCGCCCGAGTTAACAACTGTAAGATCTCAGGTCGAATTAAACATCTGTTTTGTCAAGTTACGTGACTGCTTCAGGTAACAAACTTCCATTTATTTGTTATTCAAATTTTGAAGTGTAATCACTCTTTTCGTATATTTTGATTTATAATTCCTAGCTGATCTTTAGAGACGCAACAGAAACGTGAAATGTTTCGCCATCTTGACATATTTAAAACAATAAATAAAGCTAGAACTAAACACGTTAAAAATAAATAAATAATAAATAAAAACTACGAAATTATTGTAAATAGTTTTCTTTCATTTAAAAATAATTAAACCTTTTTAGTTATTCATTTTCTAAATAATCACTTGATGATTGTAATATGCCAAATTTACATTGCAAAAAGTAAAATAAGTGAATATTATAAATTTTCAAGAACGTTGCCATTTCTGCTCTTATCAACGAAATGCTTATTATTAAAATTTTTAAATTATGCATAGGAACGCAATTTTTAAAAATTAATA